AAGCCACAGGAAAATGTTAAGGAAGCCGAGGCTAGAAGCACTGGGCAGAGCCATTGGGCCAGTCTATCTCTGTATACTCTTCTCAGTGGCAGATGTGACCCTTCCGAAAGCACTGTTTGGGCTGAGTTTGTGGCCCAGAGTCTGTGCTGGCCTCACGTCGGGGCTTGTTCGGCCTCAGAGAAGCTAACTCAACCACCACCGGCAACTCTTGAACCACCAGTCCAGCTGGGAAGGCCAGTTCATGCTATCTGCAGTCAGGGACCCCGTCTCCTCCCCTCAGAGTTCTTCATCCTGTCAACACTTATTAGGCACCTGCTGTATGCACTGACCCTACTCTGTGTGGACTGGAGGGAGCAGTGACAAGAAACCGCAGCCATTTTTCATATGGGCCAGCAGGCAGATTCAGGCCCGGAGAGATGAAGTGACACGTTGGCAAAAGCCACACCACGAGAGGCCTGGGGATGAGCCCCACATCTCCAGACGCCTGACTGAGGGCCCTTTCCTCGGCCTAAGCTGACCCTTGCCTTAAGGAGATTAAACACCATCACATCAAACTACTTTAGAACCAGGACAAGGCAACACTTCGTGAAATAACTTTGTACCGGCAGGCACTGTGTGGGGTGCATATGGGGTGGAGAGGGTTACTAATGAGAAAAGTGTTGAGCTTTGGGGGCTTACCCGCAAAGAAACTGCTGCCCCAGTTGGGTCTCTGGTGATGGGGCTCCTGAGTCACGTCCCCTGTGGCTGGGGTCGTCAGGTACTGGTCTTTGCCAATGAGTCACACAAGCTTCCAACATGATGGAATTGAAAATGATTACAATGTTCTTTGCAAGTCATGTATTAGCTCTCTGAAATCGTAATAATTTCATCATTAGCCCAGTGCATGTTTTCAGAGGAGCTGTCATAAAGTGGGACCCACATCAGGTGAGGCTTCCTGGGGAATTTTTACCTGGCCATTCTTTCCACATGACTGGGAACCACCAAGTAAGAATGTTGTCATTGAAATTGTCGTTGAAGCAGTTGAAAAGCATTTAACTGACTGTCCTCTGCCTTCCAACCCTCCTGACTGGTCACACCCACTGTTTGTCTCAGCCACTGCCCAGTCACCTCCAGCTCAGGGAGGAGGTCCAGCCACTCTGCTCACAGCCCCGTGCTTCTGCAGTGGGATAGTGATAGAACCAGGCCCTTGCTGTGTGTCATTACACCCTGCACCCCATTAGCAGGCAATGGTTTTTCAGGACTGTTAGTGGTCCTGCTCAGCTATTGGTCGACTGCCGTGGGCCGCCCCCCACAGTGACCAACTGTCAATGAGTGACCGTTAGTGGTCCTTCTCAGCCTTTGGTTGGTCCCGCCATGGGCCCCACCCCCAAGTGACCAACTGTCAGTGAGTGACCGTTAGTGGTCCTTCTCAGCCATTGGTTGGCCCCGCCATGGGCCCCACCCCCAAGTGACCAACTGTCAGTGAGTGACCGTTAGTGGTCCTTCTCAGCCATTGGTTGGTGCCACCATGGGCCCCACCCCCAAGTGACCAACTGTCAGTGAGTGACCATTAGTGGTCCTTCTCAGCCATTGGTTGGTGCTGCTATGGGCCCTGCCCCCAAGTGACCAACTGTCAATGAGTGAACATTAGTAGTCCTTCTCAGCCATTGGTTGGTGCCACCATGGGCCCCACCCCCAAGTGACCAACTGTCAGTGAGTGACCGTTAGTGGTCCTGCTCAGCCATTGGTCAGCACTGCAGTGGGTCCCAAGAACAGGCAACCAACTGTCAATGAGCCACCAATCGTGGGCATTTCAGCCAACAGTCAGCAGAGTGGTGGTCATCAGGTGGAGAGTGAGGTAAGAGGTGGATCCTGGCCTTCTCCCAGGGTCCTCCAGCTCACCCAGGCTTGGGCCAGCAGGTGAGCTGGGGGGGCCCAGGGACCAGGCTGGGACTGTGTCCTGCCAGACCCAGTCCCTGTTGTCTAGGCAGCCTGAGGAGCCTGAGGGCCAGTTGGGTCCTGGGGGTCTGGCTCCCTCAGCTGTGACAGCTAGACAGGGTCTGGAGACTTGGCCCTGAAGGAGCCAACAACTGAGCTCTGCCTCCTCTTAACCAGGCCCTAGACCTCGGAGGGTGGAAGTTGTGCCTTGGGACCTGCCCCTTCTTGTCAGAGAGAGAATCACATCTGTTTGGTGGAGATTGACAAGCATGTCGTTCCCTGACCATGACCTGACCTCAGGAATAAAGGGCTTGACACCAGGAAGTTTGCAACAACAACCATGCCTCTCCCTCCCCTTTCCTAGAAAAGGGCTTTGCTGAGAGCTTTCAGGAAGTTTGGGGTTTTTAAGGCATGAGCCTTGCTTCAGCCTTGCTAGGCCCTGAAGTAAATTTTTCTCTGCTCTGAACGCCAGCATTTCAGTATCATTTGGCCTCACTGCACGTCAGACACATGGACTAGCATTTGGGTAACAGGATTATCTCATGGAGAATTTCACTGATTTTCTCCTGGCCAATCGTGGGTTCTGACAGCAGGAGGCACCCTTGACCAAGGACTGGGAGTTTCCAGCTGGTGATGAGTCAGACACCAGGCCGGGAAGACAGATCAAGAAGGGGACACCGTCAAGCTCCCCACTCCCCTGCGCATTGAGGAAGGAGGAGCCTGAAGGAGAGTGTCCTGGTCCCCAGCCCTACCCTCTTACCCCAACCCCCTCCCAACACCTCCTGGGCCAGCACTTTGGACAGCACTCACTCTATGGGTCTAGAGCCAGCACTGGGCTCTGTGGGTCCTTCCCCATCCAAGGGCTTAGCTCTCGGCCTAGGCCTATCCAAGAGCCCCAGCCAGGCCCCAGGGTTGATTAGGAATCCAGATCTCTGCTGAGACCCTCTCCTATCAAACTCAAAGCCAAGAACATCCATCTGGTCCTGGTCATTCCACTTCTTCACTCACTGTTGAGCACCCAGGGCATTTAAAATAAAAATTGTTGTTGTTCAGTCGCTAAGTCATGTCCAACTTTGTGATCCCATGGACCGCAGCACCTCAGGCTCCTCTGTCCTCCACTATCTCCTGGAGTTTGCTTAAATTCATGTCCACTGAGTTGGTGATCCTATCTAGCCATCTCATCCTCTGCCACCCCCTTCTCCTTTTGCCTTCAGTCTTTCCCAGCATCAAGATCTTTTCCAATGAGTTGGCTGTTTGCACCAGTGACCAAGGTATTGAAGCTTCAGCATTAGCAACAGTCCTTCAAAATGCCTCAGTTCAAAACATAAAAATGTGTCACTTACTGACATGGTGCCCTTGATCAAACCATTCTTGGGGGCTCTGGTAGCAAGACAAGGATGACAGAGTGGGCACAGTGTGGGCATCTTGCAGACTGGTAGGATTGCCTGCACCACGGCCTTCATTCCCTCCATGTGCTGCTCTCAACAGGAGGGGTAGGAGGGAAGGCAGTGGGCTGGCTTCCATGTATCAGTGCCAGGGACACCTTGATGCCCCTCACATCCCTCCTCCTCCTTGTTGATAGTAAGCGGTCCCCATGCATGGCGGTTTTGCATGGTACCCATCACAAGGCAGACCCTGGCTTCAGTTTCCCAAGGCTGTCCTGATGGATACAGTAACCTACATACTGGCCCGTCTACACCTCTGGGGGAAAGTGGGCAGCGGATTGGTCACATTTACCCCTGCACTGCCCACCACTGAAAAGCCCCATGGCAGCTGCACAGATTGCTCCTCTGGTGTGTGGGGGCTGAATTTAGATTGGATCAGGTCCCCACTAGGAAGAAGCCCCCCAGAAGGAAGAGGTCACCAGGTGAAATAAGATGTGCAAGCAGTGCCAGGAGCCAAGAGGTTACAGCCGTGAGGGCGTCACCGGCTGGTCTTCTGGGTACATGGCCCTCGCTGTGAATGCTCCAGCACACTGTCCAGTCCTGCTGCCCCTGGGTTTCTCATCTACAGTCCAGAAGCAACAGCTTTCTGGGAGGGTCGGAGGCATAGTGGGTGTCAAGTGCAGGGCGGGTGGATGCTGGCTGGCTGGGAGCAGAGATCACTGCGTATGCTGCTGTGAATTCTGCCCAAACCTGTGCAGATATCCTGCTGTCAGAGCCTCTGTCTACCCACCACGGCCAGCCCATCCCCAGGGCACATCAGGAAGGAGCAGTGCAGCTATGGGCGATGCCTATTGTCTTCAGAAGCATGGAGTGGGCTGCAGGTTTGGCCAGAGTCAAGCACCCCTGGGTTGGGGGCAGACAGTGCTAGGCAACCTGAGCCAGAAAGTTGAGTGACAGGCCTGCCCTTCAGGGTTCCTTCTTATCTTTACTGCACAGCAGCCATCTGTGTCCTGGGTTTGGAAAGTGGGCAGAAAGGAACATTTCTTATGTGTTCTGCACTGCACTGGACTTCCTGGGAAGAAGAGGGCTATGTGGTATAGAAGTAGGAGGCAGGAGGAGGGAGTATAAGAGGCCAGCAGGACAAGGAAAGGAGGGCCAGACAGACAGTTCAGAGCAAGGACTTAACCCTGCATGTGCCACGGACCCCCGGGTAACCCTTGAGGCCTGCAGACCTCTGCTCGGGAAAAACGTTTTTAAGTATTTGCAAGGAGATGTGTGACGCTGCAGAAGGAAACTAATGTGCTGGAATGAAGTTGTCAGCGTATTAGAACACAGACCTGCACAGTAGTGGTTCCCAGGTGTCCTCATGAACCTTGGTCACAGGTGGTGAACTCCACGCCACCCCCATGTTGAAGGGGGTGAGCGGGAACCAGGCAGATGGCAGGACCGTGGATCCTGAGCATGTCTGCTGGGGTCACAGCCCTGCGTGTTTCTAACCCAACTGAGATTTGTTGCCTCTATTCTTATCAGGAGAAATCAGCAAGTTCCCAGTTAGAGATGTGTGAACTTTGAACTTAACAGATGTCATTTTTCCTCATCCAAGTGCACGGTAGACTGAGGAAGGCAGTACTCTAAAGGCTTCCTGCTCTGAAATGTTACCTGTGTATACTGAGCTTCTCTTCTCTCTCCATCCCACAGCCCTGCACGAGTTCCCCAATGACATCTTCACCAACGAGGACCGAAGACAGGGGGCAGTGGTCCTTCACGTGCTTTGTGTAAGTACCCTGCTGATGGCCCCGCCACAGGGCCGGAGGGAGAGCCTGGAATTGGGGGTTGGGGGTGAGGGAGGGGAAGGGTTTCCCCTCCTCTTCACACACCTGCTGTGGGGTCTGTGAGCCCCAAACGAGTGATCAACAAACGTGCTTATTAAAAGGTGTTTTTTATTGAAGCGTGATTGATATACAATGTTTTGGGTGTACTGAAAAGTGATTCAATTATATGTGTGTGCGTGCGTGTGTGTGTGTGTACGTATATATTCTTTTTCAGGTCCTCTTCCCTTCTAGATTGTTATTACACGATATCAAGTATAGTTCCCTGTGCTTTACAGCTGACTCTTCTCATTTGTCTTACATATGGTAGTGTATATCCAAAGGTACTGTCTTTAAGAGGCCACAGCTGTGTACGCTAGGGGCCACATGGACGTTTTCTCTCCCCGATACCCATGCCCAGGGCGTGGGCTCTGGGGTCAAACAGAGTGGGGGTTCTCTCTGCTGAAATGCCACCTTCCTTGGGAGTCCGTCCTTCCCCAACCTGCCTCTGTAAATGGCCTGTCTTCACATGGCTTTACTTTTCTCTGCAGCACTGAGTACCCTGTGACATAATATTATCTAGTTCTTTGCTTATTGCTCGTCACCTTCTCTCCCACAGGGATGTAGTTTTGTGCACAGCTGGGATGAGAACAGGGATGTAGTTTTGCATGTGGCTTCCTCTGAAACCTCTTCCTGTCGTGTGGTGGGAGAGTGTCTGGCACATAGTAGGTGGTCCATGAAAATGTGTTCTGTCTCTTAATCTCCACCTCTGACCTAGCACTTCATCCACAGGCCCAGTGGATGGAAGGCTTTTGATTTTCCTTGTCCCCATCCAGAGAGTTTGGGGGGTGGGGTGGGTGCAGGGGTGACGCTGTCTTGAAGAAGTAGCTGCAAAACTAGTAAGACTCAGGACACATTCTCCACTAGATACATCAGTGCTCTTTCCCGTTTCCATGGCACGGGCTCTGCCTGGATGCTCTTGATTCCATTCTGGTTATTTATTGTTGTGAAACATTCTCTGAATTGGGTGACATATCAAATAACCACATCCTGTCGCTCATCAGTTCCAGGGATCAATAGGTCAGAAAGGGCACAGAGGTGGGTGCTGCACCCCAGGGTCCAGGGCCTAGGATGGGAGATTTGATGGCTGGTGGTAACACTGATGGCTAGGACTGGAGCCACAGCTGCTGGAGGACCCTTTGAAGAAGGCTCATCCACTCCCATGTCTGATGTCTGGGCTGCAGTGTCTGGAGGACTAGCCCAGCTGGGACTGTCAACTGGAGCACCTCTGTGTAGCCTCTCCAGCATGGCTCCAGGTGGCAGCCCAGGGCTTGCAGAGGGAGGGTTGTGATGACAAGGAGGAAGCCCATGGCCTGAGTAGCACAGCCTCTGAAGTCACACAAGTCATTTCTGTCAGCCTTTGTTGCAGTCACAAGCCCACCATAACCCAGGGGAGGGGACAGAGACCTTATTTTTCCATCCACACCACAGGCTCTGGAGTCAGACCAGATGTGGGGTGGAGCCCGGTTCTGCTGTCCTTGCTTTGTGTGTGACTTCTGGCAATACATTTACCCTCTGGCCCAATAAGCTGCCTAAGCATGACTCCTTTCCTGATGAAAGCTGTCAACTCTACAAGTCTTTCCCCACTTACCCCAACCCCTCTAAACCCTCCACTTAAAAAGAGGCTGAAGGGGCCCCAAATGATAAAGCAACCTGTGCAGCCCTCCTGCCCGTCAGGAGAGTCACAGGCACAGAACAGTTACTATGGATGCTAGCTGCCATCCCAGCACCAGGGAGCCTTCCCTATTGTTTGGCTGAGAAAACCTAGGCACTCCTTCAGACCTGGGACTCCCAGCCGCCTCGGGGCCCTGATGCCTTGACAGCTGAGAGATGAGGTTTCCACTCTCAGCCCAAACAGCACGAGCTTCTGTCTCCCAAGGGGTGTTGTCGCAGCCAAAGGCAGGGCCTTTCCTCCCTCCTCCACTCCCCCCGGCCCCGGGATCCTCTGAACCCAGCTGAAGGCAGAGGAGGGTACGTTGCCTTGTCCTTCATGAGCCAAGGGTCCCGTAAGGCCTCTGCCATCTGGGGCAGTGAGTTCCCAGGCAGGCATGAAAGCTAAGTAGACAAAGCAGGATAATTCCGGCCTTTGCTTAAAGGTACTTTTTCCCCCCTTGCCTAGAGGAGTGGATATAAGCCTGAAGCCTCACACTTTGTCATTACTAGTGTCTTATCCCACTGCCTGCCCTGCCCTGGGCCCTGCATTGTGGAAACAACAGGGCAAGGAGTCTAGGGGCCAAAGTCAGTGTTCACCCCTTGAAGACCACGCTCCAGCACCTTGAATTCCAGAATTCTCCACCCAAACAGCCTGTGTCTGCGGCCAAGGCCCACTCAGGCTTCCTCCCCAACTTGCCTCTCAGAGGGAGGAGACCCCTGTGGAGAAGCCCAACCTGCTGCCTGGGGGATCCACATGCAGGCAGGTGATGCAGGGCAGGGGTCCCAGGCTCGGGGGAGGAGGAGCCCCTCTGCTGCATCTAGTCAGGCTGGGCATGCTGGCGGCCTCCCCAGGGTCAGGGAACAAGTTTGTGTTATCCAACCTCAGGAATATGACCCACACCACCCGCCCCCCCATCCCACCCAACCTCCACCGTAGTAGGGTCACATGAGCCTCACAAGAGACCCTCGTGTACTGTCTGGCACATCACAAAACAAAAGCTCCTCAGTCCTGACTTGTTCAGCACTGGGACAAGCTCCACCCACCATGGTACCCAGCACACCTGGAGCTCAGGAATTGTCGGATTATATTATTGGGTGTAGGAAAGGCTGCCAGGGCTAACCTGAGCCATCCCGGTTGCTAGTGGGAAACAGTTAAATGCATGAGTCAGGGCTGTAAGAGCTACATACAGAGTCCTGCTTTCAGCCTTCTGGGAAGCATCTCTGAGCCCCTGCAGGATGGTGGCACCAGGCTGAACCCTTCTAGCAGTCTGGTCACAGCTCACTGTATTGTTCTGCACGAGCCCACTCTATTGGAAGCAGATCCCCCCTGGATGGCTCCCGCTGCATGTGACTGCAGCCATGGTCCCCCCCAGGGCAGGAGGAGTGAAATGAAGGCTCCAACAGTGGAGTGGGTTTGAAGAGTGGGCAGGCATTTTCCAAAGGAGAAGAGGGAAGGGGGTTCCAGGCAGGAAGCAGAAACCTGGAAGGTTTAGACCCTGGAGTTCAGGATCTAGAGGGAGTGGAAACTATGGTCTGGAGGGTGGGAGGCCCCAGGCGGTGACTCAGGCACTGACTTGTAAATGGTCCCTCCTTGCCTGGGGAATAGAGTCAGGCATGGCCAGGGGCAACTCAGAGCACTCTTCTCCCCTGTCAGGGCACAGAGGTCCAGGAAGGCCAGAGGATGGCTCAGGGCCCTGCGGCTAGGGGTCCCAGTTACCCTGATGAACACCCCTCAGGGCATCGTAAACGGGTGTTTGCATCATCTGGCCTCTTCCAGTGAGGGAGGGGTGGCAGGCCCTCTTCGGGAGGGTCCCAGAGCTGTGTCCTGTCACCCAGGCCGCCCCAGAGAGAGGACCCCAGGGACCAGCTGGCAGTGATTTGGGATCTCCACCAGAGCACCCAGGCCTTTTAGCATGTGTCTGGAAACCTGATTAAGCTTCACATCTAAGCTCTCACACCCCGTCACACACAGACCTCTTGAGTTTGCTTTTCATGGGAGGCTTTCTGCACAGCCCCTGCCCTTGGCCTGGTGCTGGCCCGTGGTCACAGGTGCTCTGACTCCCTAAAACCACACTTTAATCTTCCCTGTCCAAGCTTGCCTTTTTTTTTTTATACTTCCCTCCTTTTTGTGAGCTTTGTGGAAATCAAGCAGCCATTTCTGGTTGAACTTTGCCCATACTGTGACTTTAATTTTCCTTGGTTCTTCCAGGTTTTGAGGCTGTCAGAAACCTTCAGGCCTGAGATTCCACTAGACAAAGATTCCTTCCTACTTTCTTTACCTAGGGGTTCCGTGTGCTGTGCTGTGCTGTGCTGAGTCATGTATGACTGTGACTGTAGACTGCCAGGTTCCTCTGTCCATGGGATTCTTGTCTAGGCAAGAATACTGGGGTGGATTGCTGTGCCCTCCTCCAGGAGATTTACCCAACCCAGGAATTGAACCCATGTCTCGGGCATTGCAGGCAGGTTCTTTACCCACTGAGCCACCTGGGAAGCTCCTGGTAGAGTGGAAATCCGTCATCTGCAAACTTCTGTCAACAGTGAATATCCCCAGGGAAACACACTTGTCTGAGAACTTGTTTCAGTCTGTTCTAATGTTGATCAGGATACCCTCCATCAGGTCTTCTTTAGTCGGGGTGATTGAAGCACAGGAGGGCAGGCAGATCCCAAAGGAAGTCTTGGCTTTGCAGCCTGAATTCCAACTCCAGCTTCACCCCCACCTGGAGCAGGGTGAAATCTAATTTTGACAAGCTCCTGAAGAATGGGGAGAGCCCATCCCAGGTGGGGAGCACTCCCCTCCCCTCCCTGCCTCCTCCGAGCTCCAGTCCCCTTTCAGTCCTGGGGAGGGGCTCTCTAAGGGGCCTTACAGGACAGTTGTCTTTTCCCTGGGGCCTTGGCTGCTTCCAGTCATCTGTTTAATTATAATATCTTAAGGAATGGTGTCCTTGGATCCTCTCCCCTCCCTGGGGCTCAGAGTGCTTTTGTTAAGAGCCAAAGAATAAACCAATTGATGCACAAGCCAGTTCTCAGTGGCCAGAGGGGCCAGGGTGCCAGTAGGATGTGGAGGGGGCCCTTCTTGCCCCCACCCCTACTTGGAGAGGCAGCGTTGTACATCAAAGCTCCACCTCAGCCCCGGGGGTGATTTTTGTCTCTCCAAGGTCATTCCTTTCCTTTTGTGCTCTGAGACTGAACTCTTAAGTCTACAGAACAGTGCTATCTCCTCAAACCTTTTAATGCTGATGAAGTTGTTGCCTCTG